GATCGAGGCTTTCTAGTCAAACCTTCAACATAAAGAGGATCTGAGACGTTCACCCAGTCTTTCACTCTCTATATATACATATTGAGACGTGTTTCGTTGAATAATTTACACATGTTTTGTCTAATTATTTTCAATAGGATTCTTTCATATTCGCGGATAATCGCCGTGCGGATACATATTTCTTTTATATCCGAAAAATAGTGAAATATGTATCAACATGACGATTTTCTCTCTTCGTTCAATAACGATACTAAAAAGCTTATCGGTGAATATGAAAGGATATAATTGAAAATAAATAGACAGAAACATGTTTAATTTACTCAACGAAACATGTCTCAATGAAAACATACTGCCGAAATGCACACACACACACATACAGATACATATATATATATATATATATATATATATATATATATATATATATATATATATATATTGAGGCACTTTTAGTTTATATCTTCTTTTTTTATAATAAATGCTCTGTTTATAATAAACAGTATTAATGACATTTACCGGCCTGAATTCCCGAAGAAATTTTTATAGAAAATATGCGTCCTCCGATAGGAATCGAACCTGTATCTTATACGGAACCGTCATCTAGCCTGACGTGCTTTAACCGATTTAGCCACAGAGGAGCGTTTCGGTTAGCAAGTCCGATTTTCCTGTTTTTAAACTACAATTCTCCATGATTTTCTCTCGTACATTGTTATCTGCACGATGAGTATTCAAAAGTAAATAAATGACGTCACACGTTATGAAATGGACATTTCTAGGACAATTATTTTAAGACATTTTTATGTTTATACGTTCTTTTTTTTTATAATAGTCGTTAATGCTGTTTATTATAAACAGAGCATTTCATTGTCTGAATTTGTGCATTTGATAATATATCTATCTATCTATATATATATATATATATATATATATATATATATATATATATATATATGACATCATATAATATGAAATGGACTAAGTCCGGCAATTATTTTAATATATTTCCTGTTCATACGTTATTTTTATACATATAGATATATGTTGTTTTAGATATACGTATGGGTTTTAATTTATTTTGTATCTATGAAAAGAACGTATAAACAGAAAATATATTCAAATATTTGTCGCATTTATTCCATTTAGTAATATATGATACCATTTGTTTTGGTTAAGATTCGCGTCGAGCAGATATGATCATTCGAGAAAAATCATGTGAAATTTGTTGTTTAAAAACGGTAATTGGACTTTGGTAACCAAAGGTTTTTTCTGTACGTAAACTTAGACTATATGACGGTTCTGTGTAGGATACAAGTTCGATTCCTGTCGGAGAACACATATTTTTTATGAAATTTCTCGGGCATTCTGGTGGGTAAATGTAATTAATACTGTTTATTATAAACATAGTATTTACTTAAATATTTGTATCTATAAAAATAACGTAAAAACAGAAAATACGTACATACAAACACACACACACACACACACATATATATATATATAGAGAGAGAGAGAAAGAGAAAGAGTGAGAGAGAGACATGTGTGTGTCTCTTTGTGTCTGCGTCTGTGCGTCAGGTAACTGAGAAATAATGATAATCTAGATGAAAATCTACTATATTTTTCCAAACTGTACAGGTTCATTTTCAGAGAAAGAGGAAATGTTATTCAATGGAACCGCACTCAACCTCGATGGCGGCCTTGAATCAGATTTAGTGTTACGGTTCTGTTATAAAATGGTGTCATCCAATGAACGGCTAGTAATATGTGTCGATGTTTTGTCGTCAGCTCGACCACGCCCCAGGCGTAGCAGTCCAGAGGATTCAATATAATCAGTGACATTTATCTTGAGAAGCAATGGGATAGCATGATGTGGCTACCATTGCTCACGACACCCCACGGCCATCACAGATGATGTTAACCAACCAAGTGGCATCTATCGCTTCTCCTGTTCACCTGGCCAATTTAAAGAATCTTGCTATCTTCGAGTGGCTGTGGTTGGTGGCTAGGTTCAGAAGCACAGTGTGTATTTAAATTTATTTTAACAGTGGTAGCAGATACGGAAAAGAAATTACAAAATCTCCTACAGAAGGTACCGACGGAGAGAGAGTGAGAAGAAAGGACTAAGCATAAACTACAAGAAGGCAGAATGCATGGTCATCAGTAAGAGGATGAGCCCGAAATGCGATTTGAAGGCCTAGAACCCTAGAATGAAGCAGACACGGAAGTTTAAATATCTGGGAAGCGGTAAGTTCGTCACTGTGACCCATAGACGTATTGGAATGGCCAAGGACACAATCCAAAAGCTGGGAAGAGTATTGCGAGACAGGTGGATTTCTTTTGTAACAAAGAAAAGAATATTGAACTGTTACGTGACATCTGTCCTTCTTTACGGTAGCGAATGTTTGACGACTTCCTCAAATATGAAGAAGTGACTCGAGGCAAACAGAGAGGTGTTTCTACAGAAGGATGCTAAGGATATCGTGGACCGAGCGTGTGAGCAGCGATGAGAGGTTGCAAGCAAGGCGGACGCTAATACGTAACATTAGGAAGAAGCAGCTGTAGTTTCTGGGACACATAATGAGGAAAGAAGGCCTGGAGAATCTGATACTCACGGGTCGAATAGAGGGAAAGAGAGACAAGGGAAAACAACGCGTGACTTACTTGGCGGTAAGCAAGTGGGTGACAGAATGTGGTCTGGGGGAGGAAGCAGAGGGAAGGAACTTCCACACACACAAACACACACACACACATACAAACACACACACAAACACACACGCAAATACACACACACAAAATGTAAACTATGGTGGATTCAGATTGACGTATTTATCAGCCTATTAACCGAAAATAATCTGATATTATTGATGTTTTTTTAATTATAATTCATTTTATTTGTTTAATTAATTAATTTTATACTTTATTAGGTAGACGTTTACTTTTAATTAAAAAAAAAACTGACTTCAGAAAACACCATTTCTTTACAATAAGGAAGTATTTGCTGAAATCCAGAATATAAGTTAATATCCTGGCAAGAATCAATAGTTGCACATTCAATAACGTTAAAAAAAAATCAATAACAGCAGCAACAACATCAACATACATTCGTTTAATCGGTCGATGAATTGTTTCATTTAGCGTTATCCATATTTTAATTTTCTTTAACAAAGTAAGTTTTTAAAGTCTTCTCAAATTTAAAAATTTGCAAATTTAAAAATTTGCAAATTTAACGTTATTTCATTGGTTTTCCCCGTTTCTTTTGAGTATTAATACACGTTACTAAAAATAGAATCTAAACTTACCTTTGCTCAAGGAACAAAACGCGTTGGCAGAAATGTTTTTTCCTCTTCGTTTTTGTTTATTCATATTCTCTTTACAGATATATTTATATCTGAATTTGTATGCTCCCCCCCACACACGCGCGCGTGCACACACACATCTATCTATCTATCTATCTATCTATCTATCTATCTATATCTATCTATCTATCTATCTATATATATATATATATATATACATACAGATATGATGAGAAAGAGTAGAGTACAATTCCAACGTTCGTAACATTTAATTTAAAAAGAGGGATCAATAAAAGTAGAACAATATTACTTATTTCAGGATATTATATCGAAAAACATGTCAAAATCACTACACAGTTTTCAGTCGTGTTTTGATGCGTATCAATGCATCTCATCAGGCGATTGTAAATTACTCACCTGTAATTTACAAACACCAGATGGGATGCGTTGATAGGCATCGAAACATGACTGCAATTGTAGCGAATTTGACATTTTTTCATATTTTCGATATATATATATATAATATAATATATATATATATATATATATATATATATATATATATATATATATATATTGAACAATAAAAAAATATTAAAATGTTGAAATCTTCAGACACTGGGTTGTAGATTAATATTCTTTCGTTTTTTTTAAATTATTATTTCATTTAGATTCCTCTCTCTCTCTCTCTCTATATATATATATATATATATATATATATATATATATATATATATATATATATATTCTCTCTCTCTCTATATATATATATATATATATATATATATATATTCCTCTCTCTCTCTCTCTATATATATATATATATATATATATATATATATATATATATATATATATATATTCCTCTCTCTCTCTCTATATATATATATATATATATATATATATATATATCCTCTCTCTCTCTATATATATATATATATATATATATATATATATATATATATATATATACTAAAGGAGGATATAAACTAAAAAACAAATATGTAAGGCAGACAATATTTTGCCTACTTTCTAGTGCAATTAACAATTAAGCTTCACAGACTATTAATAGTCTAATGTGATCCTTTACTAATCACCTTGTGCCAGACTAAATTGTGCTAAGTAAATACCTATTGCAAATGAAGAGAGTTTAATCTTCACTCATAATTTAGCGCTTGTAGTCTTGTGTCAGACTTAGCACAGACAGTGTTAAAAGATAACGTAAGAATCAACGAAAGATGAAAAGACAAGATGACACAAAATGAAGAAAAGTAAAGGGAAAAGAAATAATAAAAAAGGAAACTATGTAAACAGAGAATGAAATTAAGCAAAATAGAAAGAAAGAGAGAATGAATGAATGAAAAACCCGAGAAAACTATGAAGAAGGAAAGAAGAAATGAATGAATAAAAACATAGAAATACAAAAGAAGAAGTAAAAAAGAGTGAATGATAAAAAGAAGGAATAAAAGCAAAAACGAAAGAAATAAAAAATAAAGTAGAAAAAAAAAAAACAAACAAAATGAGCAAAAAATAAATAAGTAAGTAAGTGATTGGTGTAGAATGAATTCTTTACCCCCATATGGAAAATTCAAAAGAGGACGAAAGAAAAGCAACAATAAAAATGATGAAGAAAAAACACAAAGTTAAGAATGGAAAGTCAGAGTAACTAGTGGATAAAAGAAAAAAGAGGATAAATAAAAGAAATGATTAATGAAAAGATAGAAAGAAGAGTAGGACGTAAAAGTCATGGAATGAACGAATGAAGGCAGCCGGAAAGTCGGTCAGCGATTGCGAGTCTGACAAATTTGAAGGACGATGAGCAGAGGAAGGTGAGGAAGACATAAGTCGAAAAGGAAAGCGTGTTGGATGAGAGGAAAAGATAAAGATGGCTGATATAAACAGCGGGGAGAGAATGGCAGGGGGCAACATTTAGTCGGTCGGGTAGGGGTGGATACATCAAACTCACTCTTATTGGTGATGGCGGAAGCGGTGGTGATAGCTATACGTTGTTGGTTGCCACTGGATATATTGATATATCGATCTGGTGCGGTCTGATTTGGATATTGCAAGTGCTTTTGCACCGGCCTAATCAGGCATGCAAACAGGAAGTTGAGGTGAGTTCCAGAGGGGTCGGGGTGCAGGGAGGGAGCAGATGTAGTGGCATCTTCCATACGGATACAAAGCGGGCGACGGGGAGATGCAAATTGATATTGTTACATTTTGGTTTGAAATCTATCGAAGTGTTGACATTGCAAATATTTATTAAAAGTTAAATGCTGCTATGCGACAGCAAAATCCGAAGGTTCATTAGAACAACGAAAGATGCTTTATAAAAGCTAAGCAAATTATTAGAAAAAATAAAACAGGACATTTTCATTGAAAACAAAGAAAAGAGTGCTAGACTGTTATGTAACATCGGTTCTCCTCTTTGGCTGTGAATGTTGGACAGTCTTTCCACAAGTAAATAAGGGCCTCTAAGCAAAATAAATGTAGTTCTACAGAAGGATGCTGAGAATCCTATGAACTGGATAAGAAGTTTAAAGAAAATGGAAACAAAGAGAACATACTTAGAATCAGAAAACGACAATTAGAAATTCTAGGGGACGTAATGAAGTTGGTTGGTTGATTTTGTTTAGCAGCATATCAACTTCTATGAGTCATTTAATGCCTAAATCTAAATATGTTGTACGCCCTTTTATAGCTTCAGCTACAGATGTTTTGGACATCATTTTATACTTTTGAAGTCAAACGTATATTTTATAGATATATAGTTTGAAGATGATAAAAGTATTGTTGGTAATTTAAAAAATATATATTAGCGTTAAATTTACTCCAAAAATGTGTTGTTGGTCATATATTATAAAAATGTATTGCTGGTAATTTTACTACAAAAATGTATTTTTATACATTTTTAGTGTTGTATTGATTGCCATTTAGCTATAAAATGTATTTTTAGCAATAATATCTTCATAAAAATGCTGGTAATTTCCCTACAAAAGGTGTTGTAGGTGTATGGTTGCTTGGTTGAATTTGTTTAGCGGCATATCAACATCTCTATGGGTTATTTAATTCCGAAATCTAAATTTTTTGAACACAATTTTATGGCTTCAACATATTTTGAACGCAATTATATGCCTTCAACTACAGATAAAATGTATTGTTGGTCATTTTAATATAAATATGTATTGTTTGTTGTTTGATTTTGTTTAGCGACATATCAACACCTCCATGGGTTATTTAATGCGGAAATCGAAAAATTACGACCACAATTTTATGGCTTCAACTACAGATAAAATGTATTGTTGGTGATTTTGTTTTAAACTGATCTTGTTGGTAATTTTTTAATAAACACGTATTGTTGTTAATTTTAGTATAAATAGGTATTGTTGATAATTTCACTAGAAATAGTTATTGCTTTAATTTTCTATTATAAAAATGTTTCATTATATATTCATAATATCTTGTTTTAGCTTGGAAGTTTACTATTTGTCCATAGCTACCACCCCAGGTCAAGATGGACGTCAGAAAAACAACAGTTATGAGGTGGTTCCATGCTCCTCAAAACCACCAATATCCCTATCAGAGGCCTTGCTGCCGGATGTAATTTCATCGTCATACCCAGGACTAGACACGTAATGAGCAAAGTGTACTTGTAGAATTTGACACCCACAGGACTGAAGGAAAGAGACAAAAGAAAGACCCTACATAACAGCATTGTTGGCAGAATAGGGATTAGGAAATATAGTAAAAAAGCGGAGCCTAATTGCTCGAAAAGGAAATTGTGGAGAGTCATGATCACTTAAGTGATACAACACATAAAAGAAGAATACCTCCGGTACATGCTCGCATATGTTGAACAAGATTTGAAATTATTGTCAACAGCTTGAGAGATCAGTCCGTTGAGCATTGTATTTTTTTTTTCATTTAAAATCGATAAAAATTCGAAGCCTGCTGATTGCTTTACAACAATCATCTAACAATAAGCTAACAAGATGATGTCGCTATAACGTTTCTGTAATGTCATATTGAGGCTTCGAAAAGGTTTTTGTGAAAACACCCGACACCATGTTCACAGAGCTACCTTCTAACATTGCAAATACGCTGCCTTGACATATTACATTAACAGACAACAAATGATAAACTCGATACTAGAACGTCCATTCATCATATAAATTGGTGCTTCTCAATTAAAAATACGAAAAAGAAACTTCTATACATATTACGTGAACAAAAAAACGTATTCTCATATTATTTGAACAGTTCGGAATTTTTCAGCTACAAAACTTCGCAACATTATTATGACACCGTCGGAGATGAGAGATGAATTTGAGATCAAGAAAATAGTTGCTTGCAACGTTGCAATAACGTTGTCTCAACGTCCTATACCTCTCACCGAAAATAAAACGTGTCTGTAATGTTGCCAAAAGGTTCCGTGTTAACTGCGAAGTGGAAAGTTCTTATCTATCACAAATGTATCTAATCAGAAACTTGATTTATAAGAGGATAGGAAAAACTACTAATTGCTAAGGAAGATGTGACTCTTTCAGATATAAAACAGATGAGTAAATATTGTTTTATTTTGCTGTAGTTTAATTAAAAACCACGTGTGCCCCCCCCGCCATATGGATTTTATATGTATAAAGAAAAAATAACATAGAAATTACAGTTTAAATAAAAGCCTTGTCTATCACAAAAAGATCTATTCAGAATCCTGTTTTGGCAGAAAAGGTTTTCTCTCTCTCTTCCTCCTCCTCTCTCTCTCTCTCTCACACACACACATATATATATATATATATATATATATATATATAAAATTGAAGTCAACACTCACAAGCGGCTGACTGTTTCATGCTAGGCACAATCGTAAGGCCTGACGATTGCGCCTAGCATGAAACAGTTGTAATATGAGCCCTTGTAAAAAAAATGCAATGATAACAGCAGAAATTGCAATATGAGCATTGGTAAAAACAGTTGCTGAGACATTAGGTTTATAGTACCCAGAGATTTATACACAGATGACCTCAAGGACACATGGCACAGTGGATAAAGGCGTTCGTTACATCCAGTGACAGTACCCATAGAGTTCAATACCCGGTTAAGGCAGTGGAGAACTTTCATAGGGAAATTAAACATTAAGTGAGCAAAATAAAGGGTTCAGTCGTGACCACCGATATAGAAGGCCTGTTTGATTGGGTTAAGGAGAAATGTGACGTCATCATATTGAGTCCGACTTTCAAGAAGCGTGTCGTTTGTTTTTTGTATCAATTTTTTACGGCGGCATTTTAAATTGTTTTTATTAATACTTTCTTTTTAGATATTGAATTAATTTAAAACAAAACAATGCCCTATAGGTGCGTTGTTGTACCAAATTGCAAAGGGAATTATAAAAACGGCCCTAAAGTACATGTATTTTCTTTCCCTAAAAGATAAAAAATTATCTGACATTTGGATTCGTACAATCAGAAGAGATCATTTTTCAGTACCAACTAAATTCAGCAGAGTGAGTATTTTTTGTATTAAAAATAAGTAAATTTTATTGAAACTTTAATGACAAAATTAATACCATGTCTTTTGTAATTCATAACATAAAGTTAATAAGACATAAATCTAGCGAGAAAGTTTAGACTTTCAGACATTCATTCTCGTACGTGTTGCTTTTAAAATCTAAAACTCATTTTTAAATAAGCTTTAAAGAAATTTTCGACCTAAATTCATTCATGAATTCCTAAAGGAATATTTTATATGCATAAAAATAATTCTAATAATTTTAGCGATTTTTAGAATTGTTTTATATTCGTGATTAAATGAAACTTTAATTGAATTATGAATTTCATGTCTGTAACAACATTTCAAAACAAAGTGTTGTTTTAAAAAAGTTATTAAACGCAATTAAAACTTTGAGGATTAAAATAATTTCATATCTTTATAATTCACAAAAACAAAGTTGCGAAAGTTTTAAAAGCTGAAATCTAATTTTTATAAAAATAAACTTTCGATATAAATTCATAAAGGAATCTTTTTATAGGCATAAAAATAATTGATTTTTTAAAATTATTATAATTTAACAATTTTTTAGAATTGTTTTATTCATTAGAATGTTTTTTATTTATCATTTTAAATTAAAAAAATGAATAAACGTTAAAATTTCTCTTATTTGTACATAGCTTCGTCACTAATAATCTTTTGTTGAATTCTCTTCACTTTTCCTAAAATTATTAATGCTTCATATTATTGTAATTTTTTGCTGATTGATTTTCTTAGATTTTCACAAGAATTTAAAATAGGTTTGGTTTCAAAATCTTTTTAGGTATGTGAACTACATTTTCGACCGGAGGACATAAGGAGAGAATCGTCAGCTTTTGACAAATAACAGGTGCCACAATTGCAGTTAAACTAAAAAAATATATCTTCGTGATGGTGCTATTCCTAGAATTTTCCCCAAACTGTCCCTCATATTTATCTTCATTGAATACTTCTAGTCACCAGACTCTAGGAGAATCCGACTAGAGAATTCTGCTCTTAAAAAATGCTTTAAATCAAAGTATTATGATTAGATATAAAATGCAGAAGAAATTCCATAATGTTAATGATCTAGAAGGGAAATTAAATTTCCTTGATAGAAATTACTGGAGTTTTGTTAGGCAGCAAGAGACACTTATTATATTCAGCATCATCAAATCTCCATATCCAAAAATCAATCTGTCTCTTGTAATTGAATCTGATTTTGCAGTACATGTGTTTTGTAGAGAGGTGGAAATGCATTCAATAGGGGACTATAAGATTCCTAAACATAACTGATCAAAATACCCTTGAAATTCTGATAGAAAACATGAAGAAAATGGACACAGAACAACAGCAAACTGAACCACAAAATATGATTTTTATATTA